TGTGGCAATCCTTGGAACTTGGCGACGCAGGTGTCTCACGCGGTGCTCTTGTTCCAGTTGGCGATCCTAGCTCATCGCCCAGCAGCGGAGCGTCGCTCGGGGAATATCCTGGCGAGGCCAGCGCATCGAGCTGAAGCGGGACGGTAGGCTGGCTGTGACGGCGTGCTCCTGAGATGAGCTGAGGACAGAGTCCTAGTGATACAGCGGCGCGAGCTGCTGGTGCTGCGCCCTGTGCTCGTTACATGCGCCGCGGCGGGAGCCGGTTTTGTCGCGGCGTCGCACGCGGACTAACGACACTTGTGTGGGGTGGGGGCGGCGTTTAACGCGCCACTCGCTTAGAACTGAGGCTGGGGAGCAGAAACTTTTTTGACGCCCATTCCTTCTCCCTGTTGCAGGCCAAGTCGCTGTGCTGTCGCAGGACTGACGCTGACGTTGCACGCGCATGCTGGTCATCCTGGTGGTGGGGCGGACTTCACATGATGGTGACACCGGTGTCTGACGCGGTGCTCTTGTTGCAGGCGGCGGGCGCAGCTCCTCCTGCGGGGCGTCCCACGGTGAGGGTCCTGGAGAAGTCACCATCGACAGGGGCCCCGAGCTGGACCTCAAACAAGACGACGAGCAGCTGGGGCTGGTGGTAGCGGCGTGCTTCTCACTGCAGGACGAGCAGTGCCCAGTAGAGAACGACGGGATGGGAGGCCGTGGGGACGGTGCGGTACAGCCCGGGGAAGGTCCTGGGGACAGCAGCCATGTACAGCCCAAGGACGGCGAGGTGCAGCCCGAGCAGCGCGACGAAGAAGTGGCGCCTCCTCCCGGCGACGCAACCAGGCAGGGCGGCTCTAATGTCCGATGTGGAACCCGCGACGCTCAGCCGGTGCAGAACAAACAGCAGGACGACCAGAAGGCCTCGCGGGTGCTGCGGAAGAAGCAGCTCGGCCGGAAGTACACCGGCAGCGGGAGCGGAAGAAAAGGCAATCCCAGTAGCGCTCTGCAGGCCAACTCGCCCGGGGGCGCCGGCGGGGCCTTCAAATGCGAAGTCTGCGAGAAGAGTTTTGCATGGGCGAGTAAACTAAAGAGGCACAAGATGTACCACTCTGGCGAAAAACCATTTAGCTGTGATCTCTGTCTAATGCGTTTCACTCAGAAAGGCAATCTTGTCGTTCACGTGAGGACACACACTGGTGAAAAGCCATACAAGTGTGACGTGTGCGAAATGCGTTTCACTGTGAAAGGCCCTCTTGTCGTTCACATGAGGACACACACCGGTGAAAAGCCTTTCAGGTGTGACGTATGTAAAATGTGTTTTGCTCACAAAAACACTCTTGTCGATCACGTGAGGACACACACAGGTGAAAAGCCTTTTAAGTGTGACGTATGTACAATGTGTTTTACTCAAAAATGCAGCCTTGTCAAGCACACGAGGACACACACTGGATAAGCCATACACGTGTGATTTGTCTAGTAAGGCTTTTGGTCAAATATCAAATCTCAAGAGAGAAGAAACAATTTTTATTTA